TATACGTCGTACTCAACAATTAACACATAGCAAAGAAGACACAACTCCTAATCCCTCAAGTTAAGGTTAGACCAAACACTTACCTCGATGCCCCGAACACAATTCAAGCCTCAACTACCGCTTTACCTCTTGTTTCCACCACCAATTCGCTTATATCTAACCACAATTTACTTAACGATATCAATAGATACTAAATGAATCAATTCTAATGTATGAAAATAGGTTTTATAAAGATTTCCCCAAAAAGTAAAAAAATCGACTCCGGACCCATATGGTCAAAACCCGAGGTTCGAACCAAAACCCGATTACCCATTCACCCATGAACCCAAATATATAATTTGTTTTGAAATCGAACCTCAAATCGAGGTTCAAATCCCCAAAAATTGAAAATCCTAAGTTCTACCCAAAATACCCAATTTTTCCCATGAAAACCCTTGATTTTAAGTTGAAATCATGTGAAAAGATGTTAGAGATTAAAGAAAATGAGTTAGAAATGACTTACATTCGATTTGGAAATGAACTTTTCTTTAGAAAATCGCCCAAGAGAGTTTAGGTTTTTAGAAAGTTTAAAAAATGAAGAATTTTCGGCTAAGTTATGATTTACACATGCGCAGATATCGCATTTGCGATGAGATCTTCGCAAATACGAACTCGCAATTGCGGCCAAAGCTTCGCAATTGCGAAGGATGGCCTATGTCTATTTTCTTCGCAAATGCGAACAATGTTCGCAATTGCGGTGCCTGTCAAGGTCGCATTTGCGACATAAGCTTCACAAATGCGAAGTTTCCCTATCCAGTCCAATCTTCGCAAATGCGATGGGTTTTCGCAATTGCGAGCTAAGCTATCTGCAATATACCAGCAGTTTTCCTAAGTCAAATTTCACTCCGTGGCCTATCCAAAAAACACACCCGAGCCCTCGGAGCTCCAAACCAAACATGCACCCTAACCTAAAAACATCATACAAACTTGCTCGTGCAATCAAATCATCAAAATAACATCAACAACTATGAATTAAACCCCAAATTCATGAAATCACTCAAAAACACCAAAATTTCCAATTTCTCAAATTTAAGTCCGTTTTATACCAAACTAATTCCGATCTTTACCAAATTTTACAAATTCAACCTAGTTATTGTTTCAAACTTGTACCGGGCTCCGAAACCAAAATACGGGCCCGATACCATTAATTTCAAACATCTTTTCATTTCCAAAAACTCTTATACTTTTCAAAAACTAATTTTCTTTAAAAAATTCATTTCTCAGACCTGGGACCTCGGAATTCGATTCCGGACATATGCCCAAGTCCCAAATTTTACTACGGACCCTAGAGATCGTCGGATCACGGGTCTGGGTCCGTTTACCAAGAATATTGACCAAAGTCAACTTTATTCAATTTTAAAAGTCAATTTCCTTATTTTACTTAGTTTTCACATAAAAGTTTACCGGAAACGCACCCAGACTGCGCACACAAATCGAGGTGAGATAAAAAGAGGTTTTAAAAACCTCAGAACACAGAATCGACTTATATAACAAGTGATGATGGGGTCATCACAAAATATTTTTGGATTTTTTTTTAAAATTGGGGCCGGAATCGATGAGGTTTGCCTACGTATCTCATATCCGGTGAGAATCAGACCTGCGTAGTTTGGCCAGTTTTGGCGGAACATGGGAAACATGACTTTTTGAAAACCTTGGCTTATTTTCTTTCTTTTTTTTTTGAAATTTCGGCAGAGTTTTGGAATCTTTTAAATACCTACCTCTCACTCTTATTTTATTTTTTTAATTTTTTTTAGATTTTCTTTTCCTATTCTAGAAGCCGGTCAACATGCAAGCCTAAATAGACAAATGTGCAAGTAACACATAGGATGCATCAGAATGGTCTTTTAATTTAGATACACTGTCCTAGACGGACCCAACCTCTGTGTTGAGTCCCTAAAATCAAATGCACTTGATGCAAACAAAACGTTCCTACTAGGGATCCGACATGAGGCTATGTTATTCTAGGTTTAAACCTGGGTGTGTGTTCTAAACATGGCTTACCCAAGCGGACAGCTCGAGCCGAGGTGGAGGCAATGTACCGGGAACATGAAAGTCTACCTGGCCTAGTTGCTGATCCAACTTCATTCTATTTGGTATGACTTCTAATAGAAAAGTGGGCCATGCGTGGTGTGCACCATATTTTTAGAAGACTTAGAAGGGAGGCGTAGGAAGACAGTTTAATACAGTTCAAATAATATTAAAGTGGTAAATGAGCGACAATTAGAACATTAGGCCGACAAACACAGTAATATCAACAAACAATAAAGCTAAGTACAGATTACATTACAGCTCGAATTCTGAACCCTAAACCAGATGTTCTAGGTTCTTATCCTCAGCGGAGTCACTAGAGCTGTCACACCTCCTTTTTCTCGAGGGGATATGGAGTTTTTCCAATTAAAGTGACACTAATCGAAATGAGATTATTTATTTATTCAGAGTCGTCACTTGGGATATTTATGGTGTCCCAAGTCACCGGTTTATTTTAATCGAACAAAGTTTGACTCTATTTTAAGGTCCGCGAAACCAGAAGACCGGATAAGAAATTCTGTTAATCTGGGAGAAGGTGTTAGGCATTCCCAAGTTCTGTAGTTTTAGCACGGTCACTTTAATCATACCTGGCTTAATTAAATTGTTTAATTACGTATTTTAGAATCTATGTGTGTTTTACCTTTTATCGCTCTTTAAATTACTTGATTATTCGTGATTATGGAATTATCTTGAAACGAGTCATGCGTACGTGTACTCGTTCTGTTTGGTATGTCAAAGTCCTGTCACGCGTACGTGTACACAACTAATAATAATTTATTATTGTTTTGCTCAAAGTTGTGCGAACGCATAATTCGATTTTAATTTGGAAATCACAATTATGTCACGCTAACGTATACATAATCACGATAGATTAATTAAAAGCGCGCCTAAAGCACTGTAACGGTGTTCATTATTTGTTCAACTCCTAAGTTTGAGATTATTGCAAGACCTTGAGTTATAGAAAGTTGGGCTAACTTATTGATTTGTGAGCTAAATTCTTTGGCTCAAATCTTTTTATCGTTTGGTAGCCACACAGCCCAAAGCCATTCACCTAGTTGAGAATTAATTCCAACAAACTCATTACTAAATTGACTTAGGCCTAAACTGATTTAATATCTTGGAGAAAACGATTTTTTAAGATAATAAAATAATTTCCCACAAGATCTGAGCTTAACTAGCAAAATACCCCTTTTAAACTAAACTAAAGAAATCAAAATTGAATTTAACATTAAAAAGAGACTAGAATGTATTCATGGAATTCTGGAACTCATACTACCACATGTAAAGACAAATATTCAACTAGATGCAGAAATTTTATAATAACAAGAAAAGACAAAGAAGAAAAAAAAATAAGAAAAGCTGAAAGCAAAATAAAACAAGTAACACCATTTTTCCATCTAGACTTGTGAAGCTCGAGCAGTTTTAGATATTCAAACATCTAGAGATTGACTCTTAAATACAAATTCGAAAACTTAGCACATTTCAACGAATTTCTCATAGGAATAAATCATATTAAAAATAAAAGAATGCATGAATATGAACGAAAAGCTAGAATTATTACTACAACTTCAAAGCTTTACAATTACAAGATAAGCTAAACTAGTATGCTTACACAAAGAGATAACTGATTCGACATGGTAAAATAATATAATCAAGAAGTGCTAAAAATAATAAATAAACTCATAACTTCATGCCTTTAGCATTTAAGAACACATTTTAGTATCACATGGTAAATTACATGGTAAAGAAAAGTATCTAGTCGCAGAAAAATCAGCAATGAAGAAATATGTCTTCTATTAAACAATCGATCGCAACAATGATTAACAGCAAATGCAGCAACACTCTGAGGGATACCCAACAAAATGTCCCCGAAAATCTAAACGTAGAACTCAAAATATTTGTGGTTGAATTCCAAAAAAAGGGAACTATTTTTTTTCTTGACATTTGCTTAAAGAAAACTGCTGAACAATGGTTTTCGAAAAGCCTTCTGCTAATGTTTCGACTACTCTTTTAGCCATTAATTGAACTCCTAATTACTCCTATTTTGCGTTATTAAGCCACTAAAAATTGTGAATTAATTTAAACTAATCAATTTAAACATGCAAAGAAAATGATCAATGTATTATTATTATTTTTTTGTGATTTTGGTGTTTTAAAAATGCAACTAAAAATGTAATTAGATTTAAAATGCAAAGAATAAAAATATAACATATTTTCGTTATTTTCATGATTTGAAATGCTATTAAGTATGAGAAAATTCCGAAAATTTCATAAAGGCAATTAAAACTATTTAAGAATATTTTAGGCATGGGGCAAAAATTAGGTGGCCACAATATTGACATTAACTATTACTTATTAGTTTTCTTTCCACAAATCTACTACGAGTCAATAAAATGATAGAAAGGTTGGGCTGATTGTCTTTAATATTAACAGAAAATTGCTGGTTAAAACAAGTTTATTGCAGGGCTAAGTTTATGTATATACGGTTGGGATTAGCTTTGACATACATAGTTCAATTGTCTTCTTTTTATTCTCGATATTTAATGATTACACAACGCAAAGTTTTCCTTTTTTTTTTTTCTTCTTTCTTACATGGAAATTTTCTTTGTTTCCTTAACTTTTTTTTTATTAATGTTAGATTAACATGTTAAAGATCATCTAGAATTTAAGAGTTGAATTTATTGTTCATTCTATTATTTGTTATCGTCGAGAAATATCTTATAGCCTGTTTGGCCAAACTTCTAAGATTAACTTATTATGAAAAGTGTTTTTTAAAAAGGTATTTTTGGTGAGAAACACTTTGTGTTTGACTAATTGATTTGAATTTTTTTTTTAAATAGTATTTGGCCGCTTCTCAAAGTATTTTTTTTTTCCTTCTAAAACCTTAGACCAAATATCTTGAACAAGAAAAATAGCAAAAAGAGGAGCGAGTCAACAAGGTGAGTCAGCTTCACAGACTGTCAGCTCAGAGTGAATCGTGTAGTGAGTCCTCTGTTGCTCCTGTGAAATGGGAACAACATATCTTACATCTTCTCCAATTCGGTAGTTTCTCTCTCCCTCCTTTTTTTCTTTCTATTTTATACATCTCCTCTTTTTTTTTTGTCGCCATTTTCGTTCTACAGAGTACAGAGGCCACGACGAGAAGTATATTATAGGTACCGCTGAATGAGAAGCTTTAATACATTGGAGTTTTGTTTGGAACTGCTTTGAAGTCCTAGCTCTGTTCAATGTCTGATTTGCACTCCGATTCTACTTCATTCTCAGCTACTCCCGGTTTAGTTCAATGCAAATCCTTTAGCAAACTGGTGGAAATAGGAATTCGACGTGTCTTAATAAATAAATAAAATCAATGTGGTTAAAACAAAGGTTGCTATTTATTCTACTTAAGGATCTGAATCTCCTAGCCTTTATTATATGATTGTAATTTGTAGACAACCTTAATCTGCTGGTCCTGAACTTTTCCCTTCGTTTCAGCTTCTCTTATTCAGCTTATATAAAACATAAAATGCGGTCTTGCTTCTCGTATTCTTTTTTGTTTTTTCATTTTAATCCTAGTGTTTGCTGCTTATTTCTTACAATACTCTGCATCTCTTTCCAGTAGTAATTGTTTTCATTTTACCACTCTACCAGGATGTAAATGAGAAAAACTTACACACAAGAATTATTATCTGGATCTCAGTTTATTGATGAAGAAGGACATTGGGTGCTAGAGTTTATATGTATATGTATATGTATATGTATATATATATATATACCTGTTCCATACAAGCTTCTAATTTCTTAGTTTAGCTGGACCTTTTTCCTGACATGCAAAAATTTGGTCCTTCATCCTCTAATTTCTTAACTTTGTTTGTATCTTCCAGGATCTAAACCAGCTCAAATGATGGGGCTGAGCAACTCTTTGTTTGAATATGTTTTATCTCATGTGTTTTCTTTGTCATACACTGGTAAACATATTTACTTCTGCCTTAACGTGGAAAGGTCTTCCGTTTCTATCAATTATCAGACTAAAAAGCAGCCATGGTAATTGCTTTTGATGGTTCGTCAAGTTTAGAGTGTTTCTAACTCTTGATCTTGCATTTCTTAACAATTGTTCCGCTTCTGCTGTTGAAAAGTTGTTTCCTCCCTATATTGGTAGAAGAAATAATTATAAACTTCTTTATATGCAAGTACAATATATGCTTGTTTTCAGGCTGTTTTAAGCCATGCTCAGAGTGGAAGAAAAGTGTAAATTGACAATTCCAACTAAAGGGCATTTATTAGGAAGATCTATTACATTATAAAATCTTCTGCCAAATGTACAAATAATGACATTTTAAGTTAATGGAATTTGAGGAGTAATTTGCAAAAATTTCTCTAGGAACTTTTCAGAGAAATATGTTACCTATTGCAGTCAGTTTATCCAATCCACTAGAATAATTATCTTGGTTGTGGAGGAGCTGGGTTTGAGAGGAGACTTGATGATTCTATTTGAGATTTAATAGGTGGTAGGACAATGGACCTTTCTATAGAGAAACGATTTGATCCTCCAAAGCTGTCCAGGGACTTCAAGTATTCTGATGCATTGTTTTCTATTATCAATGCATCCTCAAGCTCTCTTATGATGTCCGCCATACATGGTCGGTAAGTGGAGTATGTCTCTGTGCATGCCAAGGCCACCTCTACCACTCTCCACAGTGCCTCACCATGATACCCTCCCTTGAGTGTTGGATCCACAATTTCTTCAACTCTTGAGTTTCTTATTAGAGGTTTTGCCTGTACGTCAAAGTGGATACTTGCATATAAGTAAATTTAAATATGCAAACCAATTAAGTATATATAGGGCTAAGTAGTTAAGCAATCAACATAAGTTTATCATTGGAGTAGCTCCAAATTACTACGTCAATGATAATAATTAAAAAGTTAAATACTTAAGGTGCTCTTTATGTGTTTAAAAGAAAAGTTGAGCTTCCCCACACATGACAGGTGTAGTTGAGGCTAGGCTATTCATACATCTGCATTAGCTTTTCGGTCTTTTTCATTGCACTGCAGTTTGCTGCAATATAATTAATAGGATGAGATTGTACAGTTCTGGTTCGTGAATCTTCAGGTCACATGAAATTTCCTTGATTGAGTGTGAACTGACTTTAATATAATCCAATTTTGTGTTTCAAGAGAGGGGAGTATAGTTTTGACAGAAGGTTGCTTCTACATGATGTGGAGGTCATATTAAAGCTTGAAAATGGGCTTCCTGCTTTGGGGGGTACAGGTTTTTGTTCCGACTCTTAGTTTAAGTCGGTTATTGGATTCACCATTTTCCATATGTTGGTTGCTCTCTGCCTAGTGTCTAGGTGACCATTTAGTTCTTTAAGAAAAAAAAATGTTAGGAGAACTTTTCTCATCTTGGCGTTCATGTTTTTATAGGATTTAGTAATAGTAGCGAGTTGTATCTGGAGAATCTCAGTTAAAGAAAAGCTTGCTAAGTTGACTCTTACCCATTCAACCAAGCTCCACTCATTTCTTGGCCTGTTTATGTTGAGAGGCTCTCGACCTGTTAGGATTTCAAGTAGGACAACTCCAAAGCTGAAGACATCACTTTTTGCTGATAGATGTTGGGTTGAGTAGTACCTATGCAAAAGGAATTCATGAAGAGGCCATGAGCTGGATTTCCCCAAAATATTTTTGAAACATTTTGTGTTATGGTGAATTCATAACAAAGGTGAATTATTCAACAGATATACTGATACCTTGGGTTCTTTGTTTATGCATTTATTAAGAATCGAGAAACTCCCATTAGATTCTCTTGGCGATGATTCAAATAACAATCATCTTGAATAATCCATATTAAGGTTGCAGAGCCATGCATTAGTCTCTGTCTTAGAAATAATTCTCCTGTTCTAATTTCCTAATGACAATTCAACCTAGAAGAGATTATACTTACTCTGGGTCCAAGTACCCAGCTGTTCCCCTTACTTCTAAGGAAGTACCACTATCCCCTTCTTGAGATGCATATTTTGAAAATCCAAAATCAGCAACCTTGGCACACATGCTTTGATCCAGGAGTATGTTACTTGATTTAACATCCCTATGGATCAGACAACGCTCCGAGAAAGTGTGAAGATACAACAAACCTGAAGATGTTCAAAGGGTTCAGGGGAAGAGGATATAACATATTGAAAACAAAGAATTGGTATTTTCTGTTACATATGTGCCTTGTGATAATATGATAAGTCCTCAGGAATGATTGATTGTTATGCTGTATTAGATTCGGGATATGCCTTGCAGCTATTTCTCTGAGGTAAACAAGTTTTCTTTTATTTAATGCGTGCTTGAGTACATAGATATTGTTTATTTCACAGAAGAGCTGTATCAATAGCAGAGCCTTGCGTTACTTGCCTCTTGCTGCACCTAAAGCAATGGAAAGTCTGGCTGGCCAGTCTAGAGTCTTCCTTTTTGCTGCTGCTCCTAAGCACGATGAGCGAAAAAGCAAAAAATTAGTGCTGGTTCTTATGTGAAAGAGGAACTAGGAATTTGTTTTTATGTGAAGTACCATATAACCGATCTTGTAGGGAGCCATTTGACATAAAGGGATAAACCAGAATTTGTTGGTCATTCTCGCAGCAGTAGCCAAGAAGAGGGACCAGGTTCTCATGCGTAATAGCTGAGAGAAGGGTCAGCTGTAATACAAATTGATAGTACGAGGTTAGTTTGCAAGCTGTGTTATTTGTTATGTATGGCTTAACTACATTTACATGGATAAGATGCACTTATTGTAGAAGATGTCTCCTGAAGACCGCAAGCCAAATCAGGAAGAGGAAGTGATAAATCTACAAATCTATAATTATCATTTTGTAGACATGTGAGAACATCAAGTTAAGGGCATGGCTACAAAAGCTTGAAATAATTGGTTAACTTTTGCTTAATATTGCTGTTTCGTGTCCAGTACATTATTCAGAATATTTCAGAGGTTAGCAATGTTCGCAGGGAGTAATTATGAAGAGAATCATGGGATTTGTGAGACAAAGTATTACTTTGTTGAGCATGTAGTTTAGTTTGATTCCCTATGTGAACAATAATAGAAGATAGAAGGTTGATGCTCCGACATTGTGGTGACGCTTTCTTCACATTTTAGTTAGCATCTGTTTTATTGGTTTAATGCAGATGTCAAAGTTAGGAGGAAATTGGTTTAAAAATGCTCTAGACTGATACCTCATTATTGAATTCTCGAGTTCCCTGAGTTGAAGTGGCTGACCGGACCTTTACAGCCACTTCTTCACCATCGGTCAAGGTACCACGGTAAACAGATCCAAAGCCACCTTCACCTATCAAAGTTTTGTAGTTCTGTGTAACAGCTTCTATGTATTCCAATGTGAAATTCCTGATAGATATTGACTTCAAGGTGGTATTTGTGCTTGGTACTGAATAGACTGCATCTGTATTTGATAGAAAAGTTTGAGCATATTCCCTCATTAAAAGTACTAGATCTTACAGAATATTAACTCTTTCAAATTGCTTAATTCTTGTCTGAAAAGCTCCTTTGCAGGGATGATAAAGTTACAGTTTCTGTTTTATCATGAAAGTTTTATGATTCTATAATCTGATCTTAAGCTTATTGCAAGAAGATGAAGAAGAACTTTTGATGACTTTCTAGATTACATATCTTTTCACTCTGTTGTCTATACTTTCTCAATGATGTGTAGAACCATGAATTGATAATATAATTTCTCAAATGATGTCTATGTGCAAAACAAAGTTGTAGGCTAAACAACCTATTTAAGTGGAGGCCAAAGTTTAATTTTTTTTTTTATGAGTAAGCTGATGTAAACTCTAGATTATCCTTCAAGAGGATCAAATCAACTAGTGCATGGCGTCTCATTATTTAGTACAAAAAATAGAAAGAAGAATGGGTTGTCATGGTCGAAAATAGGTGCCTAAAGAATATGATAAGTCTTGTGGCATTCAGAAATTTATATATCATGCATTAGGCATGCAGGATTATTTCTGGTGTGCTGAGAGTGTACTTACTCCTTGTCACTGAGTAACTTCTCATACTAAATTTTGGCCCTGCCATTACTCGTCTTTTGTAGAGGCAAACCATAGAGATAATAATTGCGAGGATCACTAGGAGAGATGCACCTACAGCTGCACCTATCACAAATTTATGCGCTGAACTTGTATTTTGTTTACCATTAGCCATACCCTTGCTGAAATACAAAAAGGAAAAAGGGAAATTAGGCTCATTTCACCTTTTTTTGTCAGCTACCTGCTCCTCCTATCCTTTTGCTCCTTCCCCTACCCCCGGGGAAAAAATGAACAGGAAAAAAACATAGAAAATTCATTTTTTCCTAAAGACGAGGCAAAGTTCTCATACTCTGCGGTGCTATTAGATTCCTTGATGCTTTTAGAAAGCTTGTTGCTGAGGTGACGTCTCCTGCCGGAGTTTCTGAAGGGACAAGGAAAAGAAGATATTGGTGTCACATCATATTTTTCATTGAAACACATGAAGCATGATAGGTTTTTTATAACTTTTTCTACTGCTTTGATAATCCTTCAGAGCTTATTCTCTGTATGATATCATTTAACTTCTTCATGTTTCGCGATTATGTTATGTGGATTCCAACATAGAACATTTACCTTGCAGAAAATGTGGAGGATGATGGAAAGAGTTTGATTGTGTCACTGGAGCCATCATTGCTGATATCCCTGCCTTTGCAAATAACTTGATTGCTTAGTAAAACTATAGCAAACTGCAAATTACATTAAAAGACAATCAATCAGATGAAATAGTTGTCTTGATAACAACGGCTTGGACATACAGTTTTCTTAGGTGCATCAGTTTTTGGATGCTCCGAGGACTTGGTCCACTAAAGCTACCCATGGAGAGATTCCTGTGGTAGGGAGTAGGAAAAGGATTAAACAACTAGAAGTGTACTCCATCCATCTCGAATATGCAGACAATGCTACGTATAAATAAGGTCGAGAAAACGATACAGATAATACTTGATAATGTTCAGATAAACCTCACTACCTTGAATCTCTAATAGAGAGGGAAACTTACATCTGACTGATGACTGAAGTACCATTAACTCGATCACAAGTTAGACCGTGCCATGGAAGAGGAAGACAAGGGTCTCCTAACCAACTTTTTAATATTTCATTGTTTTGATTGTGTTGCAATAATTCCATCTTCACATTCACCATTATGTCAACTGAAACATATAGAGAGAAATGATAAATGTAGTCTCTGAAATGTTCTTCTACAATTCTGCATATGCATTTATTCGGCTACTACTACATTCTTGGACTAAAATTACCTTCTTCCATGGCTGTTTCTTTAACTCGAGGCATAGTCTTTAAAATCTCATAAGCATTACAAATTGGTCCCAGTTGCAATAAATTTGAGGCCTTGATCATAGTCAGATTAACCGCCCTGTTTGCTCTGAACTTCAGAACTACATCCAGGTATCTGGAACCACTAGCCAGTATATCAACCTTGAGTCTCTTTTCATTGTTGATGTATACATGAAACACCCTTTCTCCAGCTTGAACTGAGTCATTGGGCTCAAAAAAGTACAGGACGAGATAGTAGGCATGGTATTCAGTGTCAAGGTCTTCATGCAGGAATTCCAACCTCTCCGGATGTGTCAGGGCTGTTTGTAACACCAACGAAGGAGGTAATAAACGGTGTGTTTCTGCATTGGCCTGCTTAACAATGGATGGCTGGATGCGAGTAACTTCTGAATCTAGATTTGACGCTGGTCTCCAAATTCTATCATACTGGTCATATGGGTACCTGAGTTGGCAAGTATTCATATTATCACTTCCTGATTCTGTATATGTTTGTTATTTTGTTTTAAAACGAAAAAGTGTTTATTACCATGAAAAATATACTCTGTTGCCAATACAACAATAGATCCGTGATAGGACGAAAAAGTACCTGATTTCGGCACCCTTGTTTCCAGAATCTACTCTATGTACAAGTTTGAGTACTTCTGAAGGCTCCCTCTTCAGATAATCTGGATTTATTGGTCTGAGTTCAATCTTAGAAATGTAAGATTTTCCTTTCTTGTTCAATTGGCAGAAGTTGGTATAGTTTTTAGTAGCTCGAAAAATTCCCTCAACCCTAAGTTCATCAGATGATGACTTCACTGTGGCTAATGGTGTGACACCAATCAAAACAACAAAAGAACTGTGTGGGAGAGCCTTCACTTGATTGCCAGAAAGAAATGTACCTCTTACTAGATAGTCTTGATCAATCCTGGTTGGCAAGTTGTAACACCATTTATGACCAATATCTGAGCTAAAAAATCGAGCTCGTTCATAGGGTGTATTCTTGTGCACTGGCCTTATAATGCAACTTTGGTTTTCAGGGAACCAAGTTTCATCTGAAATCCAACTTAAGTTGGTACTTGGCTCAGTAAAGTTTGCAGGAGCACAACACTGTATGCTTAGAAATCCTGCTCAAAATCGCATTGAAATCTAGAAGTTAGATTTAAGTAGAAGAAAAATAAGACATCTGCATATTATGACGAGATTGTTTGTCATCAGCCTAAACATCATATATATATATATATATATATACTACAAATAGCCAGATACTGCTTGCTCTTGTAATAATCCGTATGTGCCTAGTGTTTGATCTTTTGGTGTTTTGTAAGGCAGGTAAGTTTATTTTGCTCAATCTGCTTACACCATGTGTTCCTTGATCAATTCCAATCTGCTTAATTATTCAGTTTCAGTAGGTTTATAGCCCTGAAGTTTTGCAGCACTCGCTCTATTTTTCGAGCAGTCAAAAACAGCTTAAATGATAGTTGAGGTAATTGATCAGCCGATCCAGCTTTGTCAGAGTCTTTATGTGGTGAATGGTTTAGTTTATTTTTGGGATTGCATTCAGTGAAGTCACTACATCTGAAAAAGAAAGTTATTTCTTGTTTGGGCTTTCATATGTTTACTGCGGGCTTAGTCAAACGCAACTTAAATGATAGTTCGATACAAATATAAAACACTCGTGTTATTTGCTAACTGGAGTAGTTCAGGCGTATTTTGGCATTAATTGTGTAAAACAGGAATGAAGATAAAACTGATCGCCTCAAATAATTCAGAAACATTATAGAAATTAACAGGATAATGATCAATATTACTCAAAAAAGAGAAAGGAGCAATTGTCTTAGTGATATCACAGCAATAACATTTACATACTCCTTTTCAAACTAAGGAGATCATCAAGAATGATTATTCAGACTAACCTTCTTGTGCAAAGGCAGATTGAACAAACAGGAGCAGACAGATGATACCACATTTCACCAACCTTGTATTCCAGCAATTCACCACTTCCATCATCCTCTTCTCAAGAAAGAAAATTTCTCCATTAGGTCATCCAACTCAAACTCTAACCTTGCCTATCTCGTATAAATCGGGTTATCTACAGAATTCAATTTTTCACTCATAAATTTTGTACTTTTAGTTTGAAGAACTGACTAAAAGCTGCCTGCCGACCAAAAACAAGTTACCAGAGAGCAAGAAAGGTTTTGTGCAGAAAGCAAACTGGATGTCTGTTTTGATTTTCAATGGTTGCTATTCTTGAAGCATTGCTAGGGAGGTTAGATAAAAAACTAAACCAAAAATTAATACTCCTAAGATATCGTCACTTATATTATGTTGCTTATGAAATTATGACTAAACTAATAGTTATGGTCGTTGTTCTGGTCTGGTGGGACAATCATTTGTTTAATGATAGCACAAATAGGTAATATAATAATGGGGCGGAACAACCATTCATCAATCATCTTTTCTAATTCGTCTCTCCTTTTGTCACTTACCAGCAGCGAAACCTCAAGGTAATGAGCCTTCTCTTATTTTACTCTTTTTCCCACTCATATTTTGCTATCCAAGAGTACCTTTCGGCCCTAGTCAAATGATAGGCAAAATTTTCAACTTGGTCTGGAATTGCTTCTATTAAGTTTGTAGCTTTCCTGCTTATTTTATCAAAGGTGAAAAGGAAATTAAACATTGTAAATAACCAAACACTCCCTCTCCCCACCCAATTCTTTTTGCAGGGAGGAGAGGAATCTTTTAAGGCAAAAATCACTTTTACGTCACGGTCGAAATTATTTACATTCGGTAGTCGTAAAAATGTATAAAATTTATTTATTTTTTGTATAAAACATACAAAAATATAAAATTTTCGGCTATTATTTCGAGAATGATTATAAAATGTCATTTTCTTTTTTTCTTTTTTTTTAATTTCAATTCGTTTCTTAATGCTTATTAAAAGGGGACATATATTTCAATGACTATTTTGGCTTTTCTCGTTATCTTCCAATAAAGTCGAACGTGAATGTCCAGTTAGAGATCAACTACACAAGTCTTATAAGTTATAACTAAGGTGGAGTGACTGTTAAGTTTTACCATTATTTCTTATCATAAAGTGGCAGATAATGTAGCCAAAATGTTCATTAGTTGTTACCAAGTCATCCGTACACCAGGCATTACTCCGTACCATTTACCGATTCCATCAATAAGATGATAATCAGCCACCAGTCAATACAATATCGAGCCACTTCCATTCAACTATGCAAGACAATTGTGGTGAGTTGGCGATTAGTAATTCATACAGTATGTTCTTTGCATATTACAGATGGGAAGATAGAGATGTTCCTGACTTTTTGTTCTTCGTTAATATTCAGAACTCACCCGGTCAACGAAACTTCACAATTCTCTAGAGGCTGTACTAATTTAATTAGGGTTCGGGTTCACATATAAAAAATCGTAGTCCAAGCCCTACTGAAAAAAGCAGAAGAAATAACCCTACTAGTAATATAAACATATAATCTGAATGTTCACTGCGGACTATCATTACAACAAACAATTACATATCCAGTGTAGTCCTACCTATCACCAGCAATACAAACATCGCACTTATCTTCACCTCGGACTAGTTTTTTTTTCTTTTCAAAAGTATACATTTATATTAAGTCTACACTTACAAAGTATCACTAAGTTAAAACTCTCTGATCTACCTGGAGAAAGTCCCTAGTCTATGCTCATTAGAAAGTCCCTCGTCCATGCTCATTTTTATGAAGAGTAACAAAATACAAGTAGATGAATATACCATCTTATGCAAGATAATCCAACATGCAGTTGATATTTCACCAAAAAGAATCAATTTCAACCGAATTGCGAAGAAAAAATTTACTAGGAAGGATAAGCATATCAACTGCATACTCCAAGAGGCGGATCCAGAATTTTAGCTTCGTGGGTTCTACATTTATTATTTTTGGCGTTGAACCCATTATATTTTTAAAGTTATGTGTACGTATCTACTATTTATTGTAGTTTTAATAGGTTTTTGCCCCCCCCTCCAATTCAGTCACTTGTAACTCTCATGACGATTCTAGTCCTTTTTTCTCCACCCATTGTCACATTCCTTACCCCCAGCACCTTAGACTTTCGGAACAATTTCACCACTTCCTCCACCACTTCGCCGCCACACTCTTCCACAGCCACTACACACGCGCCGCCAACTCTCACCGCTCTCTCCATTTCCCTAACATATCTATCCGGAAACAATGCCCGATCCAAATACACACTAAACCCGAGATCAAATGCATTATCAAAAAATGGCAGATTATGCGGATCCGCGCGGCTGACAAGCGGCGGCGAGTCCACGAGCTCAGCTCCTGTAACGTCGTGAAGGCCCATTTCTTTTAGGGCCATAACCGCATGACCCGGCCCGGCGGAGACCACAAGGGCCCGTGAATGTTTAGAGAAGAGATTCTTCGCCTGTAGAGTCTGGAATTGGTCTTTAAATGATTGAACTGTTTGGATCCAGGCTTTTGTGGACCATAGACGACGGTTGTGTTTCTTTATGGAGGTTTTAGATCGGTGGGAGAAATGGCAGGTGGATTTGGGGAAACGGTGGTGGGGCTTAGGTTTTGTGAGATTGGGATTAACGCAGGTTTCAGGGGTTTTAATGAAAAGAAGGAAAAGGAGAAGGCTGGCTATAATGAGGAAAGCTAAAGATAGCTTGTTGAGGAAGTTTTGGACGTACCTATCCATTGTTTTTCTGCATGCATTTGGATCTCATTGGATGAGAGAGTAACGTTTGGTGAAGGAGAGTGATCAAACGTCGCCAGATGGACACATAGGTAAAAAGAGATACGATAGTTCGTTCAGTTGGGAAAATGTATTCGAAGGATCGATTATAATACAGTTTTGATAATTACTGGACTGTTAAGTAAGTAATATATAGAAACCGTATTATGGAACATTTTACAATCTCTAATCTAAAATATGCGATTAGTTCAAACTGAAGTACAAATTTATTTGCATTACAATCTTGGCCCACATTACATTGGTTTTATCTCATCTGATGTCTGGTTTATTAATCCAAAATGTGATTAAGAAATTATTAAAAATTTAGTACATATAATTAACACCGAAAATAAGATTTCGTCCATGTTATGAGGTAAATTAATCATATATAGTATGCTAACTAATTAAGATTTCGGTTTTTGCCAGTGTTACACGGAAATCCAAACACGTACATTTCCTTGAGATAACAAATCCAAAAGGTTGAAGGGATTCCTCCAGTGCTTTTATGACTTTGAACTATTCGTTTAAGGGATTTCACCTGATTACACGCTTCTTTTTCTTGCGACTATAATTCAATTTTTTGTAAAGTAGCTTTATTCACGCAATAAAATTTGAAATGAAAAACAACGAACTGAATTAACTATTCTTTAGTAACAGATTAGATTGAAAAAAAAAAGGAGTCTAATCAATGGTCCGATATTTTCATTAATTTGTCAAATGCCGACATATAATTTAATTTGAATGTTGTAAGCGATGTTACAACGGACATGCTCATATGAAATTGCACAAATACAGAAAATTTTAGTACTGCTGTATTAAAAAAAGTTTTTAAATGTCAAAGCGGCTATACTGACTATTGATTGGTGACATCCGTTTAATAAATAGCTTTCTAGTTCTGGAAAGTGGAATCTGGACAAATGTCCAAGTTTGCAAAACATCCATATCATTAATTATTTGCACAGCATAATACTCGTATATTCGGGGCATCACTGATTCACTGTTTGTCGGTTTAGGATATATGTAATTGACATTGTTTACCTTTACCTTTTTTTAATATGCAGCTCGTCACTATTCTATCTCACGTCGATTGTTTATTTTATGAAACCAAAGCTTATCCTATCGTCCTCATGTTAGTTGTTCACCTCGTCAACATTTCATTCTGGGTGGAGAACCAAAGATTAGGAAAGGAAGCTGTTAGTGTAGTACATTATTATAGTTGTTAAGTACACAACAACGTCGTTAAGGAAGCAGAAGGGTCAATAAAAAGAAGAGACTAGATGCGAGTGAGCAATCAAGAAATTGGGCAAGTTTGTCATAGTCACTATTTACACCAAACTAATAAATATATGATCTTCTATATAAATTATATTCACTTAACTATTGCATGATGATTTGTTACACCCCATGTTTTCGTATGTGAAAGTATGTCATAAGTAAATTGATGAAAGCTCGGAAATGAGATGTTACATCCCGCATTTTTTGTACGTTAAAGTTTCGTCATAAGTTAATCGACGTAAGCTCGGGAATGAAATTATTTTAAGATTATAAGCATTTTATGCTATTTCAAACAAGTAATGAGTAAATTCGTGAAGGTGAGAAGGTAAGCAAATCAAAGAAAATGAGTTTCGTCGAAGTTTGACATTACGGTCCGAGCTATAATACCCGATATTTATGGACTAATATCATACAAGGTACCATATGACCGTGATAATATGGTGTATAAAATATATTAAAAATAATTAGTATTTTAGGTAATTTGAGATAATTCTTAATTATGTGGGTAATTGGTCAATTATCGGATAGCGAGATATTACGTAATTAATTAATAAATCATAAAATAAGATGAAACCCCCCTCCCCCAAACGTGGCAGCAAGCCACTTTTCAAACAAATGACTCTTAGTCATTTTTGGATTAGGTGGCAACCTAATTAATAATTAAAAGACACCTCATTCTCACATTTTAAATAACTAAGACTTGTAAAAGTAATTTGAATACAAAGGACTTCATATCAGAACTTAACAACACTTCATTTTTTGAATACAACACTTCATAAACAGAACGTTAGCAATTCTTACAATTTAAATTCCTACAAAACAGTAGCAACGTGATTCTTCAACCAATTCCTACATCAAATAATTCCAACGAGAATTTTTAGCACATTAGCAACATGAGCTTTTACGATTCTAATTGAGTATGGTGCAACCTTTTCCAGGAATATCATACGGATTTTCCATATTTTAGGTATGTTAAGGCTATCTCTTAATTCTTTTAGCATGATTTATACGACACAAACAAAACGAGCAAATGCGCAATTTTCATAAATGACTCTATTCAGAAATACTAGAGATGCTTATGTTCTTGATTCCCCCTGTGTCATATTATTCTATCATCTGTTCATGGGTCTCAAAAATACGTAAGTTGGTAAAGTTTATTTCATGATATTAATCAGAAGCATAATGGTCTTATGACGTACCGAGAGATTTTATTAATGTATTTCATATGCAATTCATGCATTTATACATGCACATTGACCCATGACCAGATGGCGTTATATACGCGTATATATATTTATATAGGATATGGGAAAGATTATGTCGTTATATACGCACCACCACCTGATCAGCTGGTATACGTTGATGATTTGCCCATAGTGGCAGAGATGATATGATAGGATGCCCTCAGAGGCTTGATGATGTTATGAACGCATATACCCATGCATGGTATGACTTTTATACGCATATGCATGATATTTTAAATATTAAAAGATTCATAAAGTTGCTCACACTTACATGTCGAGTCTTTTACTCCATGTTTCTTTCATGTCTATTATTTAATGATTTTCGTTCCCTACATACTCGGTACACTATTCGTACTGACGTTCCTTTTGCTTGTGGACGCTGTGTTCCATGCCCCTAGGTCCTGATAGACAGGTCGAGAGCCTTCAAGTAGGCTATCAACTCAGCGTAAGATGTTGGTGCGCTCCATTTGCTTCGGAGTTGCTTGTTTGGTTAGTATGATTTAGATGTGTATTATTTGATATGGCGGGACTCTATCCCGACCTTTATGAAAATCATATATTCTTAGAGTCTTGTAGACAGATGTTGTGTACGTAAAAGATTATATGGCATGGTCATCCTAAGTCTAGTATAAAAGTGGTTATTTTGGTCTTATAGGCCCGCATTGTCTTATGTATAAGTTGTATCATATGTTGTATTTTACTTATCTCACGGAAGCCTTCCGGCTCAGTTATCTATGATAGTATGACATGAAAAGATATGTTATGTTGGTACTCGATTGAGTAAGGTACCGGGTGCCCATCGCGGTCCATCGGTTTGGGTCGTGGAAAAAGTTATATCAGAGCAGTTCTATCCTAGGGAATCAACAAGCCGTGTCTAGTAGAGTCTTGTTTATGGGTGTGGTGCACCATACTTATAAGTAGGAGGCTACGAGGCATTTAGGACTGTCACTCTTTCTTCCTACTCTAGATCGTGTGGTAGAGCTCAGTTGTAAGAACTCAATTTCCTAAACTCTATCTTAGTTATAGTACGACGATACCTACATCTAGAAAGACGGTTGGTAAGAGATATAGCTGTGGAAGAGTTGAGTCAGAGGAACTCAATTTTTGCATCATGCTTATGATGTATGAATATAAGGTATTCAGCAAATCATGTGTATACTAAGATGTGTAAGCTTCTTGATAAGGATCCCTAAGGCAAGAATGCCTATCCACTCTTACAGTAAAAAGGAATAAGGGGGGAGACACAAGTTTCAGCAAGTAAAAGGAGCAAGGTGAAGAAGGGTATGAGGCACCAGTTAATGAAAATTATCAGTATTACAATTTCAGTAGAAAAATATAAGCATTGTGAGTTACCCTCAATAGTAACAGAGGTATGTATAATTGGCCATACCCATCTCAGTTATACCCTATTGGGAGCTAATAAGTGTAGATTAAGATAAGGATGGGATATCAAGATCCGACTGGGGTTAGAGTAACCCAAAATGGTGAATTGATTGCTGCGTTAGTTGACATTTCCGAAGGATATTACAGATGTACTAATAGATCTCCTTGTGATACACCCAGATGGCGCACGCCAAAATAGTACAGCTAGATATGAGTATTATAAAGATAGACACTGGAAGCCTTGAAGGGATAAATATTACCTTAGTATGGCTCGCATCTCTAGTAGAGCAAGAATGTTAAGCAACCCGAAGAGCCACCGGATGGAGCAAAAGGGAGCTAAAAGCAAAAGAATGTCTTGTTCGAATTTTCATAATAAAATTATAGGCATAAATGTTAGTGTGAAATAAGAAAAGAGTTAATGAAGCATTATGAGTAAAATATGATACATGGATGATAACGATAGATCAAAATATGAAAGTATTACAGAATCTATAGTCAAGTGAAGGAAGAAACGAGAGGTGACAGGCCTTAGGACAACAAAAGAGTATAGGGCATGCAGTCATGTCCTCATTTCGAGAAATAAGTTCGCAACTCTAATGCGATTACTAAAAGGAAAAGTTAGACCCCAGAGTAATAGAACCAGTATGGATTGGTGAACAAGATAAACTAAACTTGAATTAGGGACTGAGTGATTGCTAATAGTCAGCATTATGAGAAATTTAGATAATGCTCATTCAGGAAGACGCTTCCCTAAAGCAAGCAATGTGAGCAAAGTTCAGCTTAAGGAACTGTATGTTCCAGTTATACTAAGTGTCACCCTTGTGAGTAAGAAATTTTGTTATCCTTGGTACAGAAGGATTACCGCAAGGCAAGTAAGGGTCATCGATGATATGAAATAATACCAAAGATGAAGAGGTAAAACATCTGCAGGTAGGTCATCATAACTCTAATTCTTAGTACTCTCCTAAAGGGGAGAATATGAAATGTTGTGGCATTAAGCCAGAATTAAGTGATTCTAATAATTATGAAATGTTAGAGGAAGAATGCAAAAAAAAGGGATGAGATTGCAATTATCCAAAGCCTACATATATGGTATGATTCTAGAACATTGTGCAAACATGACGTCAAGGAGAGGAAGTAAGGGTTCTTTCCCGAAATGTTATTGATAAATAAGGAGCTAGTGCGAGAGGTAAGTTAAAA